GGTGGAACAGCTCACAGCCAAGAGCAAACGCACCAGGAAACATTAATGATTGAAATTCTGCTGTGTATGTTTGTGGGCTGCTAACGGTTCAGTCCCAGGTGAGTCATGAGCAGGCCTACACTGAATCTGCGACCGCAGAAACCTCTACAGATTCTATCCTACAAGTTCTAGGTAACTCACAAATCCTATATGTTGTTCATCAATAACTTTAACTGACCTTGATTATGTTTTCAGTTAAGAACAAGTTCTGCTGTGTGTTAAGGTTTTGGAAGAAAGAATGGTACTGTAACGTTCATTAACTGTATTTTTTTTTTCTTTTTCTGAAATTACTATAAGTAAGCCATTTATATCTGTTTGTCAACCAGTGGAAGACAGGAAGAATCTGTGTGAAATCAGTCTTTAGTTTTTGCAATAACATTTTGGTGAAGATTTTTCGCCGCTGAAATTTCACACCTTTAATAAATAACAAGTAACTCTCAATCATTCTTCACAATGTTATGAATATATATATCACAATGAAACATGAATATTTGCACTCACTATAGAAGCAGTAAAGCTTCATCAAAACTGAATGAGGATTTGAATGTTTCTCTTCATTTCTGTATCATTTTGTATAATTTAATGCCTCACAAATTCATTAAACGAAAATGAATCAGAGCTGCACATCACAGGTTCACTGGAAAACCATCGTCCTTGCTTGGCTGTCGTTATGAGATGAGCGGCACTCATTTCTGTGCCCTGAATGATGACTTTGGTTGAAAAGGCTTTAACTGGACTTAATGACACATGACGCTATCAGCTCCGATGTAATGTAAATATTTGTCTGTTCTGGGTTTTCCACACATTTTACATTCTTCATTTACATGAGTCATCAAGGATGGAAACACATTAGGGACATTTTGATTTCCTCTCTTTTTATTGTTCTCTTTCCTGTTTCACTGTTGAAATGGATCCTAATTCTAATTCTGGCCTGCAAGGTAATGTATTTAACATAAAAAACAAACAAACATTGCTTTAATAATGTTACCTTGACAAACGTTCAAAATTTGGGGTCGGTAAGATGATTTAAAAAAAATTTCAATAATTTCTATTCACTGTCAAATCAGTGTATTAGAATTGATTTCTGAAAGATCATGTGACTGAAGACTGGAGTAATAGCTGAAAATGGCTGAAAACTGCTGAAAATTCAGCTTTGCATCACAGAAATAAATTATATATATTCAATAGAAAACAGTTATTTTAAATATTAATAATATTTCACAATATTACAGTTTTTCTGTATTTATGTCCTGAAAACCTGCCCTTGATTTCAGGTTTCCAGTGTTCTCTGCAGTTAGAGACAACTATATGGCACAAAAATGAACCCAGCACTCCTAAGTCTGACCAAATCAGCATTTCAAAACCAAAGATCAGATTCAAAAGCGTGATTTGTTCATTGAAATAGAGCAAAATTTCAGTCTGTACCTCACACAAAGCAACCGTACACAATACATTTTTTTGTTGTTGAATATTTTGGTGGGAGAAGATTTTCCTCTATTTGTGCATAATTGTTAATTGTGTCCAATTTACTCAATTCCTTAAATTGTGGTTAAAGATGGAGATTATTGATTGGAATGAGTAATAATTGTAGTTCTATCACAAAAAATCTCTGAAGATTTTAGCATGGTAATGGATATATGACACTGTTAATGTATTTGGTCTTGGCAGAAAAGATCTGCTACGCTGCTGCGGCTGAATTGCTGCTGCTGTTGGTTATTGCTGTTGTTGTAAATTATTGCTGCTGCAACGCAAGTACAGGAACGTGCTACTGCCAATACATACGCCGATATGGTGCTGTGAGTAGTTAAGACATACTGCTGCTGCACAAATAGCATAACCCGTAGCAGATCTATACAGGTGGAGCTGGGGAAAGTGGAGGGTTTCAGAGGAACTCCGAAAGTGTGCTGTGAACTGTTCTAGTGAATGTTAACCAGCCATTTAAATGTAAAGCATTACATTACTCGTCATCGTGTACTAAGACTGACGGAAAATGAAAAGTTGCTATTTTCTAGGCCGATATGGCTAGGAACTATACTCTCATTCCGGCGTAATAATCAAGGAACTTTGCTGCCGTACCATGGGTGCAGCAGGCGCAGTGATATTACGCAGCGCCTGAAAAATAGGCTAACTTCTGTCTACATAACCAACGTGACCACCTGCTTGCACAGGGAGCGTGCTGGGGACTATTTTCAGGCGCTGCGTAATATCATTTTCTGTCGGTCTTAGTACACGATGTAACTACAGAAGAGTCAAAGTTTTAAATAGGAAAAATATAGAAACTCTTTGGTCATTTTTGAGTGAGATGCTAACGGTCTAATCA